TCCAAAAATATTTCACAGCTGTACAAAATGCAAGTGACAACTGTGGTTACTGAGAATCTCAGATTTATAGGAAATTTATGCTGGTAAAAGTTACTTTTTTTTTTTTCTTTTCTTTAGATATGGAGAGATATTTTAAGTATATTTTTAAAAAAAATTAATCACAAAACATTTCCAAAATATTTCAATAAGTAAGTTCCGTTACCATTAACTTTGCAACAACAGAAGGTCCTTGAAGAAGAAGATAATTAAATCCAGCCAGTTCCCCTAGACTGAAAATACACCGCATATCTCAAGCCCCTCAGAGAGGACAGATATCCAGTGTCTTTTATACTATAAGGAGTTAGTATCATATGCATCACAGTGAATACACTCTCACAACCTGGACAGATCACCAGTGAGGAAGTAAGATCCAAACAGACAGAGTTTACTATGTTAAAAACAGCACATGGCATTTTTATCTTTAAAAAAATAAATATCAGAAAGATACGTCACACAGCTGCTGAAATTTCCAAATGATCTTAGAAGTGCCTTACGTAGGACACGTTAGAGTAAACTCCATTTAAAGGCAGTCATGGCCTGCGTGATTTGAGTATGTTCTCCTGAGGGATCTCTGCCAACTTCTTGCTGACTGGAGAACACTAAAATACATCCTGGAAATGATGCTGTGTGTTTCTTCAAGCTGGGAGAAGACCTCCACCATTACGTTCAATGAACTTTCTCACTCTGTACTGCCTACTTCACCTGGAACAAGCTTCAAACAGCAAATTTTCCTCCAGAAAAAAATCATCAATAGCAAGAGTGGAAGAAAAGAGGCCATAGGAGCTATTTCATTAATGCGCTCAGATAGAGAACTTATGCTTTTGAACCAGTACAAACGTCTGTAAGAGGACTCCCGTGGATTTTTTGCTCCAGGTAGTTATTTCAAAGTTTTGTTAGAGGTCACTTACTCTACTGGACTTCATTTATGGCCCACGTAGATGTACAAAGAGTTTTGCAGGGATTTTTTTTTGCTTTCGAACGTGAAAGAAAAAAAAGTACATTCACTATAGATTGTGAACTGGCATTTTTGCTAGGTCAAACCTTTTCTTGTCTTTTCTGTAAACCAGGAAAGATTTCTGAATTCAGAGATCTCCTATGCATAAACTGAGACTAGTTGGATTAAAGGCCACAATCCCAGTCGTCAGGTGACTTAACTCAGTATAGTCTAATTGAAGCCAATGTTACACCAATCAAACCAGTGGAACATGGCACAACAGTTATGGCATATAATCTACAGTACTGATTTGTAAATAGCTTATTTTTATAAGTTTGCAGAGTATACTGTGTATTTAACAGTATAAAGTGAATCAGCACAGACAGAAATCACTACTTCAAACTGGCTTTTAGGAAAGGGGAAAATATCAATTTTTAGGCAGTGACTGCAATGAACTTGTAGGACAAACATGAATATCCTAGGTAAGCTTTCAAATACTTATCCAAACCTCATGTGAACATCTTAATCTGGATATACCCTCTTTCACAATTTCCAGAAAAAAAGACACGTAAGGAAAGCCCTTCTAACATTTATATGGATGTGTGTATTTTGGAATGAAAAGCAATGAAGTTAAATATAACAGTCTGGATTGAAAAAAGGAATCTATTCTGGCCATTTAATTTTATATATAGAGGGTTGGCCTGTCTTGAAAATGTGGCAGAATTTTATGTTGCAGGATGCTTTCAGTTGCTGCTAAATAGCCAAAATAGAGGAGAGGTTTGTAGTAAGACTTCTCCCTCCAGTATGCACAAGCACACAGCTTGAATTTCATTCACATGCACAAGGTATACCAAAAAAACCTTTCCATTGCTCTGAAAGCCAAATATAAGAACAGTACCGGACAAGTGTTTTCCTTGCATCTTAATAATTTATGACCAGGGTTGGCCCCAGCATGTTATTGTATCTTATAAACACATCCTGTAGAAGCACTCTAGTAAGGGAAGTAAGGATAAGTCTAGAGATTATATACTGTTTCAGGTGTGGCTCTATTAAATTACTAAAAAATATTTAGGGCACAGATCTAATGTTTCTTTTGCCAAGAGGTTGTTTCAAAAAGTGGGACAGTGCTTCAGATGGGAACAGCTTTTCTCTGGGGATTTCCTCCTCCTTAAAATACCCTCTATCACACCAAAAGATACGGAAGTAACAAGAAGTAATTTTCAGTAGAAATTTTACAGTTATGCTTTGTTCTACAGAAACATATTAAAAAAAAAAAGGAAAAAAGGTACATCCATGGCAAAAATAGTAAGTGCCTTTTCCCCCGGTGTCATGTCTTTGGATACGTACAGCCTTGGAGAAATGTATAAATCATTTTATACATGGAACTCTTAAAAAACTAGAGATTTTTAGTACAAAGGAATCAATTCACTGCAAGAATGTCCACATGCTGTTGCTTTATGATTTACTATATACACAAGAGGATCAAACAAAGGACCTCTGTTTTACAGTTACTGCTGTACTGTACATTAACATGTGGCTAATACCCTCCTCTGGGTGAGATTTACACTTAGTATTACAAATAACATAACAATGCTGAAAATACTGATACAAAACAGCTTCAAGATGACATTTTAAAAATATCCCTCATTTTAATTGAACTGTTTTCTCCAGTTTTTTTAAGTTTCAGCTTTATAAAAGATTCTCCAAGAAAATAGTAGCATTTAAAATGTTCTTTTTGAAATGTATAGATGGATTTTTTTTAATAAAGTGTAATCCAAAAGTCCATTTTTCCAGGAAAAAAACAACTATAGGTACAGTACATAAGTTAAAATTGAAGAGTTTTTTTGTTTTTGTTTTTTAATGTAGTATAGTACATTTGTATCCTGGAAAAAAAAATTTCCTTGATTACAGTGTATGTTAATTTATTTACAGATCTGAAATATAATTGCATACATTAACTCTTGAGATGAGCAAGACCGAAATGTATTGTTAGTAAGAACCAACCGTCCTTTCAATCTACCATGACTTTAAGAGACTGCTGAGATGAAAACGTGATTCTGAATAGTGAAATTCTGTTACTACTATTTTAATTTTTTTTGGTAGACTTTAAACTATGAGTTTCAGTGCAGGACTGGGAGTCTTTAATACCCATAGTTAATTCGGTCAAGCTGTGTTTGCAATTTTTGCACATTCTGTTTTGGCAGAAGCAACGCACACACGAACACGAAGAAGTTTGGCAAATGTTTGTCTTGATTCTTATGTATCCAGCTCTGGATACCCAAAATTACCACTACAGAATATTTAGACAAAACCTGCTCTCTTCAACATCAGATAATGGCATAAAATTTGCTCTAACCAAATTAAAATCCTCAATAAATAGAATCCTGAAAGTTCAGGCTGCTAAAATGGCTTTGCAGAATATCTGCCAAACTCATAGTCTAATTTTTTCTTAATCTAACCAATCCTTGTATTAATCCAAATATTAAGTATTTAAGCAGATACGTTTAACACTAGGTAAAATTTGTATCATTAATTCATTTTATATGCCCTATGCAACTTCCCTTTTAAAAGTTACAGCATTTTTAGTAGCTACAGCAGCTTAATTTTTCATTATATGCTACTTCAGTTAAGTCACACTGGTTTGTTTCTTTGTGTGAGAATGTGCTGCACCCTTGTCTTTTGTTATCAATCACCAGTTAAAGAGAGAGGTGACTTGTCTCAGATCTGCCTCAATCGTATTTAAACGTGCCAGATTATTTATAAACTACTAACTATATGTGCTATTATCATTCAAACAGATTACCCTCCATCAGAGAGGTTGTAAACTAAGTGTCATGTTTAGTATATGCCACACATTTAGAGTAACTTGACCGAGATGCCTGGTTTCAAGCCCTCTGAAAGGGGAAAACAGGATCTTTTGTTAGTGACAAGTCTACAAGTTTATGGTGTGATCAGATGATTTCATATTCCCATCAGACCAGCATGCTGCACGTCAGGTAGCATTAGATTAACCTCGCTTGTGTATAATATGTCAAGACTAGCAAACCCGCTGAGTTGGTATAAACCAGATCATTAAGTACAGATGATACAGTCTACAGAAATTATGACTTACACAGGTAATTTGGACTGGGTAATAAGACAATTTCTCTTACTTTAGTCTTTCACCCATTTTTGGTTTGGGAAGTGAAATGAAATTATATGATGCATTACACCGCATAGAATGTCACATTGTGTCATGAGTGATCAGTGCCTGTAAAGCACAAACATCACCATAACTTGACATGTCCTCATAGAACAAAAACACTTTAACAAATGTAGTTAAATAAAGGTGGGGAGAGGGAAGGCAAGGTTGAGGAACGAAGGTGGCATCCGCAGTTTGGGAGCCAATTACTGACTCAAATACCTGGTGAGCCTCTATGAACCTTGCTGTTAGAGGAAAAACAGTCACTTCCTCTACTTGTGGCATGAGGCATTCATAAAATACATACAGCAGGAAGCGGTAACACACCTCTACAAGTGAGCAAATTTCATTGTATTAAAAAAAAAAGCGTAAAAAGAGGGTCCTCAGAGATTTCTGACTCCTTATTTCCCTAGTTTCTATGAAATTCAAGAGGGTTTACTAATTACTTATCTATTCATTCCTCACATCTACTTTAACAGTAACATTATTAAACATACACAGTATTACTTAAGATCACCTTCTAGAACTTCAGGGAATGATAGTGGCTTATGGGGGGGGGGGGAATATTTAGCCAATGTTGGACTAGCAATGCCAGCCAAATGGTCCCATTTATTATACCCATGGTGACTTTTGCATGACAAATCAATCTAGTTATTTAACAATCTAGTTCTTCCTTTTGCCACAATCCCAGATGGGGAAGTATGGAACCTACAGACAACATTAGGTTTTTTACTTTTTTTTTTCAGGTGAAAGTAGTAGCAGATTAAAACTGAAGACTGAGCTCTAGGTGAGCTTATGTTCCTCTTTAATCAACTCTCCTTCCATGGCAAGAATATAAGCACCTTGTTATCCATCTTGTTGACCTAAAGTCTGTAGCTCTGCTGTGTGTAAATTGTGGTGGAGGAAAACATTTTTTCTGCTGTACATGTGTAAAGAGATGGGTCCCCTCGGAGGCTGTCCGAGTCTCCCTGTGAAAGTGGTATGCTGCCGAGGTACAGCAGTTTGGTCTTTTGGAGCTCCTGAGAACATTGGGTGGCTGTCTGCCTTGGGTGCTGGCTTTGCTGTACTTGGTGCCGTGGTGGCCAAACCGTTCTGGGTGACCTCTGAAGCAAGGGTTTCGTACGTGCCTCTAGTATGCTTGATGACTTCCACGATCTCCTTTTCTTTCAGGAGGTTGCTCAGACACAAATTAGACAGCTGACAGCTCTTGCTTTCATAGACCGTTGCTTGGTTGCCTGATGAGTATCTAAAAGGGTCCTCGGTGGGAGTATGTGCTGACTTTCTGTCCTTTGTGCTGAGATTTTGGCTCACCATTCTGTTTGGATATGTAGCCTGGGGAAACAAAACAAAAATGTATTAGTAATAGAACATAGTAGGAGTATATAAAACACTCCACTACAGATGTACAGCACATGGGGCTAGCAGATTAAAATGAAAGACGAATCTTAAATGCTGGTAAAACACCCAAAGCACTGCTAGCATAAAATAGAAGTATTGTTCGTTCGTAATTAACAGAACTAATACTGAAAAATGCTTGTTATAGGTAATGATTTGGGCATTTTCTTTAAAAAAAGTTTAAATCAAAGGAGAATTTTTTTTCAGAACATAATAAATGTATAAAAAGGTTCCATGAATTGTAAACAGATTTTCAAAAGCATTTCACATGATGAAACAACAAGAATTTTGATTTCATAGAGTTCAACTCTTAATACTCTCAAATACGTACAAAATTTAAAGAACATCTTGTGAATATCTTCATGCCTTGGTTAAGCTCAGAACATGCTCCATTTTTATTGTCCCTTGAATCTAGGTGTTTTGTTGTGTACTTACAGTTAAATACAAAATGCTTTGCCAGAGCAGAGCAATGATTTTATTTCAGCTGCCTGGAAAAAATACAATGTAAGAAGGATTCCAGTATGTTAGCAACTTTTGATGCTGTGTGAGCATGCATGCAGTTGTATTTGTTTAAATAAGGGGAATTTATCTGTACATGGCAAGCCAGATCACTGCAGATTTCCAGTGTGCACTTAGTGCATTTTGTCCTCCACACACAACGCTTGGCTGGGGAGGATATGATGGGGCTGTGGGACCTTCACTCAGACATTTAAAAAATATACTCCCAGTGTATAAAGTAAAATAAAGCGTTGAGGGGAAAATGCTAATACAGTCAAAGCAGGATTCTACCCGTTCCACTACTGACTGTACTAGATGATAGCTTCTAGAGGTGATGCCCAGGAACTCAGGTCACAGGGAGATGTGCTTGTGGCTGAGGAATGGCACTAGCCAAGCTGTGAATGTTCGGAAGTCTGGTCCCTAGAGGAACTTGAGCTTTGAACCTATATGGCTTTGTAAGAAAGCTTCATCTCTTTATATATTGTTACAAAACATATATGACACCAATTTGCCCAATAAGAATCAAACACGTGAAAGCTGTGAGTTTCAAAAGTTGTTGACGTAACATACTTAAACTCTACTGTCCTTTGTTATCTAATATTGTGTGTGCAAAAAAAAGGGGGTGTGTGTTTCATTAACTTCTCCAGATACATATCCATATGATGTTTCAAGGAAATCTTTAACTTACATGGCAATTAGTGCACCCCTGATTTTTTTTTTTTTCCTTTTTTTTTTTTAACTAGTCACGTTATGGTAACTAAGCTGCAGTTATGTGAGGAAGGATTCTAATAGCATCAATTGTAGTTTATTTTAAAAGTTATTTTGGAATACACATTTGCCCTTGTTTTAGCCCTGTCACGCTTTCCCAGGTAATGGTCAAAGCACCTAGTTCTGACATTCATTTGCAACAAAAGTCCAATTTTACTCCATATAGGTTTTCTGCAACAGAACTCTGAAAGGACATAGTAGCAGCTTCTTGACATTTACTTTGCTACATGGGCTCTGACGTTGCAGAACAAAGCTGAGAAAATAAAAAATACTCCCAAGTCTTACAACAAGACTTTGCTAAAAATATTTCAGGATGTTTCCATGATTCCATAGGAAAGTTGTATATATTGTTTCAGGACAATCTGTATCGCTTCACATGCATTTCTATTTTAAGCAACACAGAAGAATGATACAGTCAATATTCACATCTTACAACCTTTTTTTAGTGCAGGCAGGCTAATGTTCATGCTTCTACGCAGATTCATACGCAGGTTTGGATACAAGTATTGCAGTGCATTTTAGGCATCAAAGATGGTATTTTCAAAAATTATTACTACTGACATAACATTTTTCCCACTTAATTCAGTGCTGATTGCCCAAAAACTCATAAATGGGAGTAGAACATTTCTGGAAAACATCACTTAAGTTTTCATGCCTACAGCACATAGATGTTGAGATGAAATTCAATTTAATTCCTAGGGAATCATTCCTGGGGAGACCTGTCTGTAAGTTCAATTACTTTTTTTTTTAATTTACTTCTATGCCAGTAAATAAAATCTTCCTACTGGGACAAGAGAGTCAGATTCAATGCCCTGCCAAAAATCCCCACATTTGTTGCATTTGTCTCTGGAGTTACCATATATCACCCTATGCCCTTTGAGAACCTACAGATTGATATAGAACTGAGAGGAACTTCAGGATGGAACATCTAGTCTATTCTACAATTCTGGTTAGCATCAGCTTATCCTTATGTTGTTCCTGACGTTTTTTTTTAACCAGCTGTTAAGGACATTCATCAATGTAATCTGTACAGCCTCCTCAGCTAACCTTTTCCACTACGTTACCTTTACTTTTAGGAAAGGTCTTCCTAATGTCTAAATTGAATCTTCCTGGCTGCAAGTCTATTCCTTCTCTCTCTCTCTACTATGGAAATGAAGAAAGAGTTGCTGTTTGATCTTTGAATACCTGTTTGTCTTTGAAGAATGCTGTCAAGCTACCCCTTACTCTTCTCTGCTCTAGAATAAAAAAATATCACATCGATCTCTTCTCATAGGACTCATCTTCTAGACTCTGAGTCATTCACACTTGTCTTCTCTATAGATTCTCTTCAGTAATTCCACATTTTTTCTTGAAGTAGATGGCCCAAGAGTACAGTACTTAAGGTAATCCCCTACCAATACCAAGCAGAAGCAGCAAAATCAATCCTATGAAGGCTGCCTTCACCCGCTTCTTTTTAATTCATTTCAGTATGAGGTTAGTAATTTTATTTTGCAACAGCATGAAATTGTTCACTCATGTTCATCTGGTTGTCCACAACAGTTCCAAGATTTTTTTCTACAAAATTATTTCTAAGTTTTTCAGCTGATTATTGTCACATAGACCTAACTCCTCATTTGCCTCTGTTGAATTTAATCATTTTTCCTCTGATCTTTTATCTAATGTATCAAGATCATTCTGAATTCCAGTTTTATCCATTAATATGTTTTCCATCCCACCCAACTTCATGTAAGCTGTAAATTTATGTAAGAATATTCCCTAGTCCATCATCCAGGTAGTAAATGATTAGTATAAAATACTATAAAACCCCACTTACTGTAGCCTTCTGTTTTAACATTGGGCCATTGATAAGTCATTTCCCAGGACAGTTTTCCAATTTACTCTATATTTGTTTTATTTATCTGCATAGTATGTTTATAAAACAGTATCAAAAGCCTTACTAAAAGCAAGAAATCTGACATCTACAGCTTTTCTTCTAGCCAGAAGGCCTGTTACTGTGCTGTTGAATGAAATTAGACTGGTTTGGCAATTGATTTGATTTGTAATCCATGTTGGCTCTTGTTCATCTCGTTTTCTTCTATGTGCTTATAAATAGTTTGTTTGGTTATTTGCCTCAACTTTTTGTCTGAGAATTGAAGTTAAACATTTCAATACATTTAAGATGAATCATAGCCTCCCCCTGTTAACACTGACAAAAATAGACACTGATACTGCACTCTGATCAGCATATACTTGTTTTAATAAAAACACCTCAGAGCTTTTCATGGTGGTATACGCTGCGCAGTAAAAAGTCTAGGAATTAAGAACCGTTTCTCTTCTTAAAGCTGCTATTGAAGTGCCAGCAAAAGCATATAATTTATCTCTTTAATCAGCAGCTACCCTTTTTCTTGTCTTCATTCAGAGAGATTACTCAGTCATAAGCAGCATGACGTCAATAATCGGAGCTTAGGCATGTTGCTGCAGACGTTTGTAGCCTTGGATACAGAAGCGAGTTCCAGTGAGAAGCATGACCATTGCTGGAGGTCTTGGATACAAGTTGTCTTATAGTCTTAAGAATGGCTTAGCAGTTACTTTTGTCTCTTGAAATAGAATAAAAAATTAAAAACTTGGATGGAAAAAATTCTTATGAAATGAGTTATACCAACAAAGTAGGTTTTAAAGTAAATACATAAGAATCAACTAGTTTTGAAAATGAGGAGTGCAGAAGCATGTTCAAAGCACAGCATATCGTTGAAACTGGGTACCAGTAAAAGGTACGAGTCATGATTACATGATTTTTTATATTGCTATTTTAACTTGATCTTGATGAGATGCTCTGTTTTGAACATCTGGCACTGTGGTGTTTCTTTTCTCTTCCTTATCAAGGTTATATTTCACATGAAATATTTTCATTTTAGAAAATACATGCTGGGTTTGTAGGTCTCCAAGATATTTGCTTCTGGCAGTTGGCCAATAAGGGGAGACAGTGTGTGTGTATGTTTCAATAAATATTTAATAATATATATCTGGTAATGGAAGGTCTTACTCAGTTTTGTGAAGCTATAACTTGCTGAAATTCCCCTCCTACTGAATAATTAAACAAATACCAGGTGGTGACAAATTAAGAGCTAATTTACCTAAATTTTAAAACATCAATAGAAATTTAGAATATGCCATCAGTACTCTAAGACAATGGTTTGACCCTATGTCCAGCAATAAGACACCTTAATAAACCACCTTAATAAGGTGGTTAACAAGGAAAGACAGACTCATTCTATCAGATGCATAGCTAGTCATGGAATGAACAGAGATTTTAATAGAAACATTGCCAAAAAGCAATAGTGTCATTGTTACCTATGACAAATTACTGAAGAACAGTTTCTAATCAGGAAAAGAGAGAACAGTGGTCAGATGGGAGTCAAAATCAACATGAAATCCTCTCTGCACCCCCCACCCCCCACCCCCCATTATTCTTCCAAAAAAATAGTCAATAAAAAGTCCAATGCTGCTTTGAATTTCATATAAGTCATTCTTTGCTATAATACAAACATTTTTATAAAAATATCAACATACAGGTTTGAAAAGAATTGTACATTGTTTTTCATTTGCTGAATTCAGGTAGTTTAGCTTGAAAGAATCTAGTCCAATTGAGTTTTATTGCTGGCCCATTTTACAGTTATTTAGACTCCTCATGA